CTCAACACAAGAAGAACCCGATGGCAATCGTGGCCACAATACATCAGCCCAGCGCTCGCGTGTTCAACATGTTTCACAACGTCTATGTCATCTCACATAACGGCCAGTGTATATATCACGGACCTCCAGGTGCCTACACTTTGCCTACAGTTTAAAATTTACATTGAATTTACATTAAATTTACATTAAATTTACATTGAATTTACATTTTTTAAATGTATTTATTTTTTGTTTGTTTTTTTACAACAGATAATATTGTGCATCACTTATCAGTGGTAAACCTATCGGTGCCCGAGTTTCACAATCCGGCCGATTATATCGCAGAGATAGCGTCTGGAGAGCACGGAGAGGATAGTATCACACGACTGGCCACTCATCGCAAGGAATCGCTAATAAACGGCTCGCAGACACCGGCGGCCACAGAATCGTCGCATAAATTGTCCGAAATGTCACAAAAATATAAATTTCCACTTATTTTGCATACATTTTTACTAATCGGCCGATCGTTACGTCTGGTGGTGAGAGAGCCGCACCTGTCGTGGATCCGATTGGGCGCCAGCGTAAGCACCGGCTTCTTCTTGAGCTTCGTGTTCGCGCACTCGGATTTGGGTCGAGTGGCCGGTTGTCCGCCCCGTATGGAAGGCCTTTACACCACACGACCGACCGATCTGTTCAAAAACGCCGAATACGAACACAAAAGGATTGAAGAGAATTTGGGATCAATTTTCTTCAGCGCCGTATTCCTCCTCTATTCGGGAATATTGCCAACACTTATGACTTTTCCCAAAGAATTCAATTGTCTTATCAAACACTACACCAACGGCTGGTATTCAGTCTTCACGTATTACTTGTCGAAGATTATCGTCGATTTGCCCCTCATTTTTATCAGTATTTATTATCATGTTTTTGAAAATAAACTTTTTAAATTACTTTTAGATTAATAATTACTATAAATTTTGTTTTGTATTAGCCACGTTCATATATCTAACCATATGGTATTTGGTAACCTCTCAAATCCCAGAAATGTGGAGGTACTGGACCATAATCTTAGCGGGTATATTGATTATGCTGAACGGCCAAAGCCAGGGCATGATATGTAGTGCCTGGTACTCCCGAGACCCGGTCGCCGCCTCCTATTTAAGTCAGTAATTACTATAATTATCCATTGAGTTATCCATTAAAACCCTCAACTCATCCCACATATATGGATAGGTATCGTCACTTCGACGCCTTTCTTTCTGCTCAGCGGTTATTTAGTGCGATCCAAACGTATGCCCGACTATATCCGTCCGGTGACCGCCATCTCACACACCAAATACGCGTTCGAGTCTATGGTAATCGCTATCTATGGCTATCAGCGCTGTTGGTATCAGGAGTCCAACCAGACATTGGTTCAGCCGCCGTGGCTTCGGTTCCTACGGGTGATGACCGCCTCAATGGTCGACAACAACAAAGAGGATACCTTCGACGACGACGACTCTTATCTCGTTGTTAATAATAATAATAATACTACTAATAGTAGTGGTGGTAATGACGGCGCCGGTGGTGGTAGTGGTGGTGAAGATGATGGAGCCATGAATGATATATTAGCCCTGTTTTCCGGCCGTCATGCCATCACTGATAATAAGTACCAATCGATGGTTATGTCTGAGTTTGAGTTCACCGATGATATGCTTCCCTATAATCTTCTGGTACTCCTCTTATATACCATTATCTTTCAATTCATAGCATATATTGTCTTAATTCGCAAATTGAGAAAAACTAATTGAGTTTTGGTTTGTGTTAAAAAATTTTAATATCTGTATTATTTTTGCATTGAAATTATTTATTTCTGTATATAATAAATATTTACTTAAATCTAGAGCATTTATTCTTTTTAATAAGTCAAAATTATTATAAAATAAAATATGAATTTAAATTTTACACATTATTAATAGTGTTTTTAATGACATAAATAGCAAAATATTTGGATGAATATTATGAGGAAATAATAATGAAATTTTTTTACAATCAATACTATTCTGTGATTATTCTTATGCTATATTCTTGTGTTATATTTTGATGGCATATACTTTTAGGTAATAAACATAGAAATAGCAGTGAATTCTTTATTAATAATTCAAATGAATATTGGATTCAAACATAACAAAAGTAAGGAAACAATTTGTTATTAAATTCTTATATTTCTGTATATCTTCCCAAACATTGCTTTCAAACACAGTTACTCTAAATAATTGTCTATTTATTAGTAAATGCTTTACAAATAATTTGAAACTATTTCTCAATCAATAGAAATATTGATTTTAAGAGCATTTTGATGTTAACCTAGTTTTTTTTGGTCAACACATATCTCACAAATAAAATCATTAAATTTAAATACTTATATTTAAATTATATTACATTTACATAACATTTGATAGTAACACGGTCTATTATTTTCATCATGTGTTAAATACCTAGCAATTTATTATTAATTTAAAAAATCATTGGTACTAATTAACCATGCTAATTCAATTGGTGTCATTAACACCTACATACTCTCGATAAAATACACATTTAATGTTTTAATACATTAATTTTGTACATTAAACCAGCGCAAAAGTGAATAGAGTGTACTATTGATTATTTATCTATTGTTAATAACATTATAAGTTATAATTTATAACAATATTAACACATAAAATGCTATCAAATTGTAGGTCACATTTGGAGAGAGAGAGAGAGAGAGAGAGAGAGAGAGA